CGAGTGCTTCATGGACCTCGTGTGCCCCGAGAAGTGTCGCTGCGAGGGCACCGTTGTGGACTGCTCCAACCAGAAGCTGGCCCGCATCCCCAGCCACCTCCCCGAATACGCCACCGATCTGTAAGTGCCGCCCTGGGCAGGGGGGTTGCGGGGGGGGGACTCCATTTGTGTCCTCCACCCCAGTCACCAGGGTCAGCCCTGGCAGGGTCTCCTGAAGTGCCCCCTGACTCAGCCGCCCAGGCATCCCCTGGGGACAGCTTGCTCACCGGTGAAGATGGTCCGTCATTCTGCAAATATTTCCTGAACACCTGTGAGCCAGGCACTGTGCTAGGCCCACCAGCTTTCACAACAAACAGAGCGGACAGCCTGTCCTTACGAAGCTTACAGTATAACCAGAGAGACGGAGAGTAAACAAGTAACTGTCATATAGCGAGAGAGCAGCTAGGACGGTTAGCTGTATCTGAGCCTCCAAGTATGCTGATACAGGGGTGTGATGGTTTGTCCAAAAAGAAAGCGCTAGGAAGTTACCCACAGGGAGGTTGGGCAGGGGGAGGACGCAGCACTGGGAGGTGGGGGGCTGGCGGACCTGGGTCTGATGCCCGCCTTCTCTGGTCTTCCTGGTACTGGGCAGCTGTTTCTCAGACCTGAAGGTCAGATTCTTAGCTGCAGAATTGGAGGCAATGACCCCACCGCCAGGACGATTAGATCAGAGAATGTGAGCACAGGACTCACCTTGAACCTGGCGCAGAGTAAGCCCTGGGTCAATGAAGGTGGCCTTCATGACCCTCACCCTCCTTCTCTTGGCCTCACAAGTCACGGCAGGCCCTCCTCTCCCCCAGCACCTACGCATGGGGGCCTGGGGTCCCCAAACAGCCCTGGCAGAGAGAAGGATCTGAAAAAAGCCGAGAGGCTGGGTGCCTTGGGAGGACATGGGGAGGCCTTCCTGGGGGTGTGGCTGTCACTGGTACCTCCTGAGTGAAGGCGGATCACTGGCAATGGATGCTGAGTATCCAAAAGCCCAACACACCTAGTCCCGGGGGCTTCCCTGGGAGGAGCCTGGCCTTTGCTCTTTCCTGCCCCTCACGCACTCCCCTTTCCACCCTCCCCACCCGTGGGCTGCAGGGTTGACACTGCATTGTCCACGGCTCTGCTGATAGGGGCTGAGTGTGAGGTCCAGGCGGCAACTCAGCTGAAGCCATGGGGGTGCTGGGTGGGGCATCGGAAGGTGGGGGAGAGGGAGCCCCATCCATCTTCAGCTAAGCCACCCCCTCATCTGCTTGCTTTCCATGTAGGCGACTGAATGACAACGAGATATCTGTCCTGGAGGCCACCGGTATCTTCAAGAAGTTGCCCAACCTGCGGAAGATGTAAGTCAGCTGGGCAATTGGCAGGCTGGGCAGAATGCGGGTGGGGGCGGATCCCTCAGCTCCAGGTGGCCCTCTCGGCCTCCTCCTGCCCCCCCCCGCCCCGTGGGCATGTATTGGGCAGTAGGCACTAAGGCACGGCGTGTAGACACAGACCAAACAGAACATCACTGTTTCTAAATCGTCGATATTGTGACGGTGTGTGCCCCATGCCATCCCTGCCCCCCCATGTGCCCTCTGCTCGTCCTGCTCCCCAGCCCACAACCCACATCTGCCCCAAGGGAGGGGGGAGGGACTCAGGAAAGGATCAGCGACGGGACATGGGGGTCTCAGATGAAACACAAAAAGCTAAGGAACTTGTCCAAGGTCAAAAGTCAGTGAGCAGCGTGGAGCCAGGAGTGGTGGCAGGGCACAGAGGCAGCAAACGTGTGTGTGGGGAGAGGGGGTACACATGTGCATAAATCCATATAAACACTGCTGGCCGGCCGGCCAGCCAGGTGACCCGACCAGGTAAATCTGGGCCCAACAGCCTCCAGCTGCAACCACTTATATAAAACTAGAGGCCCAGTGCACAAAATTTGTGCACGAGGTTGGGGGTGTTCCTCAGCCCAGCCTGCACCCTCTTCAATCTGGGAACCCTTCCCAATTCGCCTTGTCCCTTCTGCCTTCTCCCATGGCGCTGGCCTTTTCACCTTCTCTCTTCTGCCTTCTCCCATGGCGCCGCCCACCCTTGAGTCAGGCTGGTCTCGCATTCTCCCGGCACCTCCCCGCTTCTGCCTCATCTCTGGAGCAATGCCCTGCAGCACGCATAGGAGCTAATAAAGAGCTAATATGCTAATGGTCCGGTCATGACCCGTTAAGGCTTCCCAGCTAATTTGCATATTACCTCTTTATATGTATAGATAACTTGATGGCACCTCTTGGATAAGTAGAGATCCTTATGCGCTGGGACCTGCCACCACCCCTATGCCCCTGAGAGGTGCTGGGTCCACTGGATTCTGCCCACTGGTGGTCAGAGCCAGCTGTGCCTATGCCTGAGTCTGCTAAGTGTCCTGGACAGTGGACCAGGGCCCTAGGGTATATTCTTCATGTTTTTTTAATATATTTGTATTGATTTCAATGAGGAAGGGAGAAGGAGAGGGAAATAGAAACATCAATGATGAGAGAGAATCATTGATCGGCTGCCTCCTGCATGTCCTCCACTGAGGATCGAACCAGCAACCTGGGCATGTGCCCTGACCGGGAATCAAACCATGACCTCCTGGTTCATAAGTCGATGCTCAACCATTGCGCCATCTGGCCTGGCCAGGATTCATTCTTAACTCTACCCTGACAGGGAAAAGGAGAGTGAACACAGTTGGGGGTTTAGCCTTCGCTGTGCTCTTCTGGACCATTCTGAGCCCCTGTGCCCATGTCAGAATGATGAGGTTGCGCTGAGCATCGCTTGTGGTAAGGGGTGCAGAAGGGTGAACTGGTGCCCACGGGGTCATTAGCACTGTGGTAACTCGAGGCCACTTTTCAAATGACATCACCTTCAGAGTGAGGTCATGGCGGCTCTCTGGTGACCTACAGTCCTTTCTGTCTGGGAGACTCTCAACCAGAGTCTGGAAACTAGCAGCCCCTCCACCGGGTGCCCCTGGGTGGGTTTGCCGGCCACGATTATGTGTTTAATAAGAACCAGTTGCCCACTTTTAAAAATCAGGAGTTGGCACATGCCAAAACATCAGGATTTCTGGAAAACCAGAAGATCTGGCAGAACTGGACCCACATTCCCAAATGGCTCCAATCGAGTTGCCCTGAGGAGCAGCTCCCCTTAGGTGGGGCATGTGTTCTCCTGACCACTGCCGCCCCCCAGGCCTGCTCCCAGCTGACCACTGCCGCCCCCGGACCTGCTCCCAGCTGACCACTGCCACTCCCCGGACCTGCTCCTGGCTAACCACTCCCACCCCCCTAGGCCAGCTCCTGGCATTGTCACCTGCCTGGACCCTGTGGACGTTCAAGCTGCAACCCCAGCTGCAGAAAGAATGTCCACCTCAGGGGAGCGAGGGGTCCACATGGAGGTGACCAGGACCCCCCCAGACCTGCCAGTGCACCAGGTGCTTTTGCTCCACCGTGACCCACTCCTCGGTTCCCAGAACCCTTTTGCTCTCTCCCCACTGCCCGTCCACCTGGCATGGGCTTCAGCAGCACTGCAGGTCCTTCCTGTTGCCTGGTTCACGGGCTGCCCTGCAAGCTGAGAGACCTCCCAGAGGCGTCCCAGCCTCGGGGTCCTCGTGTCTCTCGGGGAAGCCTTAGAACAGGTCTGAGAAGCTCAGCCAGCAGCTCACAGTGGGAGCAGGTCCGTCTGCCTCTGCGTCCTCTGAAGCACCCTGGCCTGGGGCAGGGCTTCCTGGATCCTCCCGGGGGACCCTCCGTTCTCGTGGGCGGCAGGGCCCGGAGCAGAGTGCCAAGCGGGACCCTTCAGGAGGGTTTGCAGACACCCCGACACCCTCATTCGGCGTCCCGAGTGCTTGCCCCAGCCTGCTCGCTCGCACGGGGCTCCACCCAGGCCACCTGCCATTTTGAACACCACTGTGATGGATGCAGAGAGAGCAGTAGCCTGGTCTTCCGGAACATTCTCTCCCCTGATGTTTTCCATTCTCCCAGCCTGAGAACATGCACTTCACGAGCCTTACAGGAACGTGATGCTAATTTTGCTCATTTAAAGAACCAGATGTCAGCGATGGGAGCCCTCGCTGCATCGCGGCTGCAATTCATCGTCATCGCGGCCCTGCACTTCAATCCCCGAGAAGCCTGACTCTCAGGAGCAAAGCCTGTGTCCTCCAGCGTTTCCATGAGTTACAGCTGCTGGGGGAGCCTCCTATGTCTATTTGGGGGGTAATTTGCAGTCTCCCCAGAACATTACCTTCATTCCTGGACCAGGACGACAGGATTTATAAGAAAAGCAGCTGCGATTAAGGACAGCCAGGCAGCGAGCAGAAATCCAGTGGGAGAGCCCCCCGTTTGCCCGCCCCTTTGATCTTGGGGGAGGGGTTCTGAGGGGTGTGCTCCTATGTCCTTAGCAGGATAGAAGTGGGGGAGGGGAGCAGATTGGTGATGAGGAAGAACAGAGGGAGCAGATTGGAGAGTGGGACTGAGATGCCATCTGTGTCCTCCATACCTGCCCACAGGTGTGGCTACTGTAGCACCTTGCAGGGCCGGTCCTTACTTAGAACAAGGGCAGGCGGCCTGCCTGGGGCCGTGAGGTGCCAAGTTCCACACCCCGAGGCCGCTGTGGCTCAGCACAGAGCTCCCACGAGGTGAGCACTTGGAGAAGCAACAGGGCAGGGACAGGAGTGGTGCTCTGGGACCCAGAGCGGCGCCCTCTCCTCTCGGGGCCTCGGCATGTCCAGCAGCACAGTGGGCCCGCTGGTCCATCTCTAGTGAGCCCTCAGCTCTAACAACCTCAGGTGCTCGGCCAGTTAGCGGGTGCGTCTCCACCGCAGACCTCACTATCACCATCCGGTGCAAGGCTCTAGCTGCTGTGTGCTCGGGCGGCTGAACTCCTCCCTCAGGCTGTCAATGCCCTCACCTTCCACTCCATCCATTCCTCCTGCGCCTGCGCTGCATTTCAGGATGGTCTGCAGAGGCCCCCGCACCCCGCCCTCCCACTGGTCCCCCGCCTGCCAGGGAACTCGCAGCCCCAGTGGCCCTACAGGGCCTGCTGGCTGTTCAGGTCTGGCGTGGTGACTGGACCTCGCAGGGGAGCCGAGAGCCTGCTCACAGTGACAGGACCGAGCCCCTCTAGGAAAACAACGTCAATACCCACATCACCTAAGGAACCGCCACGTAGGTTCACTGGAGGACTCTGCGTGTGCCCGAAAGCCTGGCTTCCCATCCCGTCTCAGCTGTGTGACTGCGGGCAAGTTGCTCCAGCTCTCTGAGCTCAGTCACCTTAGCCCCAGGATGAGACCGTGGCAATAATGACACCCATTTGGTAGGCCTTTGCTATGAGGATTTGATGTGATTCTGTGGCCAAACCCCTCATAGAATAATGCTCAAAACGTGGAGACTAGGACGTGTCGGCTTCTGTCTGGGATCTGGCCTGGTGAGGGAGCTACAAGTTCTGCAAATGCCCAGCCCATGGGTGAGCGAGGGCGGGGGAGGGGGGGAGGGGGGACTGAGCCTTTTTCTCCCCCCTCCTCTTAGGAAGTGCTGCTTACTGAGGGCATCTATTGAGGACAGGAAGTTTGAGAATCACCTTTTCTTTCATCCATACACACTTTTTATTGTTTTCCTATTTTGCATACTTTTTTTATTCGTGTTTTTGAGGAATAATTGGCATAGCTTGGTTTCAGGTTACAACATAATGACTTGACATTTGCACACACCGTGAAATGGTCACCACAATTAATCCAGTTGCCAGCCGTCACCGTACATAATTACAACGTTTTTTTCTTTTTCTTCTTTTTTTCTTGAGTTGAGGACTTTTAGGATTTACTCTCTTGGCACCTTTCGAGTGTGCAGTACAGTATGGTGACTGTAGTTAACAGAGAGCCGCTTTGTAAAACTAGCAGTCCCCGGGCGTGGAAGAGGTGATGACCCTGAAAAGACTTTAAGCCCCGCACAGTCTGTTTCGCAAAGGTAGCCCCCTCCTCACCCTGCCCCCGTGTGGGCCAGGGTCCCTGCCCCTGGGCGCAGGTGCTGGAGACACGTCTGGGAGCCCAAGGCTGCGCTCCCCACCACCCCAGCCTCACTCCAGGGTTGCCTGCAGGGCCAGTGACTCCCTGCCTGCATCTGTCCTGACCCATCTGCCCCTCCTTCCAGAAACCTCAGTAACAACAAGATCAAGGAGGTGCGAGAGGGCGCCTTTGACGGAGCAGCGGGCGTGCAGGAGCTGATGCTGACAGGGAACCAGCTGGAGATGGTGCACGGGCGCATGTTCCGTGGCCTCAGTGGCCTCAAGACCTTGTAAGTGCCGGGACCTGGGCCTCAGCCTAGAGGGAGGAGGGAGAGAGGGCATCGGAGGGACTTCGAGGGCTGTCAGAGGGCAGACCAGGCCCAGGCGCCTGCCTGGCCTCTTGAATCCCCTCCTCCTGGAGCCAAAGGCCTAAGACATTCCCAGCCCGTGATGGGGAAGAACTGAGCATGCTAAGCAGCCCCAACACACACACACACACACACACACACACACACAGAATCATACCAGAAACATGCTGATAGAGGCACACATACACATTTACCCACTAACAGTGACATATACACACGTACATAAAAATGACATATACAACATGCAGATAAATGCATACACAAAAAGCATGCCTACAAGCACACACATACACACACTCACACACACCACATGGTGTGGCCCTGCTGTGGGCAGGAGAGGGTAATGCCTGTGCTCTCGCATCCCCACCCCTCTCTTTGCAGGATGCTGAGGAGCAACCTGATCAGCTGTGTGAGCAATGACACCTTCGCTGGGCTGAGCTCAGTGAGACTGCTGTCCCTCTATGACAATCGCATCAGCACCATCACCCCTGGAGCCTTCACCACGCTGGTCTCCCTGTCCACCATGTAAGTCCTCCTGGATCCACTGCACACTCACCAGCTCCTCCCCTGCAGGCCTCTCTTCTCCTGGCTCCCTGCTATCTCTGCCCAAGGTCATCTACCCATCTGTCCACTTAACAGCCTTTTATCAGGCTTCCTTCGTGCGCCGGGCACACATAGGTCTTAGGATGCACAGGCGTGGTCCCTCCTGGAGCTCACAGCGCAGTGAGTCACCACAGAACAAGTCCCCAGTGCTGTGGAAACCAGCACAGGCTCTGCCGGGGAACCCAGCACCCAGCACAAGCTAACCCAAGAGGGGGCTAGCTTGTCAAGCGGGAAGTGCAACTCCTCCCCTGGGAAGAGCTTGTGCAAAGGCCCTGTGGTGGCCTGGAGCAGAGCAGATACACAGGACCATGAAAGCCCAGCTTCGAGGGGTCCCATCAAAGGGCCACAGGGCACTTGAGCGGCTTTACTTTCCTCATTTGTGAAATGAGAATAACGCTGCCTCCGTCCTAGGGTGGTTGTGACCAGTCGAGTGAGGGGAGGATTTATAAAGTGCTCTGCCTGGTTCCAGTCCTCTAGGTCAGCGGTTGTCAGCCTTTCGGACCTCATGGTCCACCAGTGGTCCACGGACTGCTGCTTAGGTGATACTCAGGAAGTGATAGGTGCTATCATCCCTTTGTCCCTCCAGCGGACATGCACAGAGTGTCTGCGCTGGTGTCACACCTGTGCCAGGGGACACAGAAACAGACCTGGGGCCTCCCCTCGGGGCAAACATGGGGCAACCAGCTCTGGTGGGTGCCATGGAGGAATGAAGGCGAGTGATGGAGGAGAATTTGCTGAGGGTCCTGCAGGCCGAGGACTGGAGGCTGAGGAGGGCCGGCCAGGTGGACACTAGGGGCTTGTCACAGCAGGAGGACCTCCATGGGTGAAGGATCTGAGTGAGAGAGTCGGCTAGGGAGCTAAAGGGAGCTCACGGCTGGGGCTCCGCAGAGAGGACGTGCGTAGCCGGGGCCCCGGTCATCACCATCAGCCGAGGTCCAGAATGACACTTGCAAAGATTGCATCTGGATTCAGAAGAGTCTGCATTTCCCTTCCCAGACCTCCTCCCTCCTCCCCTGGGCCTGACCCGCTGGAGAGCTGGCCCCAGGGTGCAGAACAGGACCTGGGCCTGACCCGCTGGAGAGCTGGGCCCCAGGGTGCAGAACAGGACCTGGGCCAGCTCCCACAGTCGAGGTGTAAGCACCCAGAGAGGGCCCTTCTCTCCTCCCAGAAACCTCCTGTCCAACCCCTTCAACTGCAACTGCCACCTGGCCTGGCTCGGCAAGTGGCTGAGGAAGAGGCGGGTCGTCAGCGGGAACCCCCGGTGCCAGAAGCCATTCTTCCTCAAGGAGATTCCCATCCAGGATGTGGCCATCCAGGACTTCACCTGCGAAGGTGAGGCAGCCGGGGCGGGCAGGGTGTCCCGGCAGGCAAGGACCCCTGAGTCCGATTCTACCCCGCCCCCAAGCATGCAGCTGGGGCTTGGAAGGGCTCTGCAGGCGGCTGCCTGGCCACCTGGTTCCTTAGAGCAAATTAAGAAAAGGTGCCTCTTTTTAAAGACAGTTTACTTCCATTAGTCAGAAGTTTGTCATAATATATGGATCTGTGAAAACAAGATACTGTACAGCCAACTACTGTGACCCAAATACCCTCATCTGCCGAGTCCATAGTGAGATGGTGCCATTAGGGGCACGGCCCTCCATGCAGGGCGCAGCCCGCACTGCTGTGCACAGTGCCCTGGGCCTCGACCTCGGTTCCTGCCGGCGCCTTGCTGAGGCCCCGCGTGTGCGCTCATGAGAAACAGACTTCCCGGTGAGCTCCCGGCAAGTTCCTGTCGCTGGACAGGTGTGAGAAGACCTGGGCAGCGAGGCTGCGAGTGTCAGGATGCCAGAGGCAGATTGTCTGCTTAAATTCAAGCCAGCACAGTTTTTCCTTGGCCAGCGATTCACATACAGAGCTGGTTTAAAGGTTATCTGAAGTGAACGTGTCCTGGAGGGTGGGACAGTCACCCTTAGGGGCACTGTGTTGTGGAAAGAGAGAAGAAAGGGACAAGGGGGGGAGGAAGGGCCTGGGCAGGGCTCTGCCCCTACCCCCACCACTCGTTAGTCAGTTTGGTTTATTTCTGATCAGTTGGCAGTGACCTCTTTCCTGTCTAATACTCTGGCCAATCAAGTTTTTAGAGTCTTCATGACAAATGCAATAGAAGACAGGCAGCCCTGCTCCCTGGCCAGGCACTCCCCCTCCTCTTCCTCCTCTTCCTCCTCCTCCTCCTCCTCCGACTGAGAGTGAGACCAGCAGGCCCCCTTGTCCTGTGCCCGCTGGAAGCCAATGGCTTCCCTTTTCTGACGGCACCGGCTTGCTCACTGTCCCCACAAAAGAGTCTGTTCCCCTGCCATGGGAATCTGTCCCCTGCCAGAGTCTGTCCCCCACCATGCTGACTCTCAGGGTCTCCACAGGCAACGACGAGAGCAGCTGCCACCTGGGCCCTCGCTGCCCCGAGCAGTGCACCTGCGTGGAGACAGTGGTGCGGTGCAGCAACAGGGGGCTCCATGCCCTCCCCAAAGGCATCCCCAAGGACGTGACTGAGCTGTAAGTACCCCCTGAGCAACCCCGGAATCCCCACCAGCATCATCACT